CCAGGGACATGCCCCTGACCGGAATCGAACCTGGGATCTTTCAGTCCGCAGACCGACGCTCTACCGCTGAGCCAAACCGGTTTCGGCAGTGTTTCTGTTCTTTAGAATAAATCTTTTTGAAATGAAATTCATATAAAAAATTTAACCATTTAAAAATAAACCATGTAGTGATTTAGTACATTCACAATACCTCCTCTATCTAGTTTCAAAACATTTTGTTACCCTGAAAGGAAACCCTGTACCCGTTAATCAATTCCTTTACTTTCTCTCCCCCCGCCCCCCAAACCATCAGTCTACTTTCTGTTTCTGTTGCTCAGGATTTATCTGTTCTGAACATTTTGTTTAAATGGAATCATACAATATGTGACCTTTTGTATCTGGCTTCTTTCTCTCAGTATAATGTTTTTGCAAATCATGCACACTGTAGTATGTATCAGTGCTGCTTTTTTTATGGATGAATAATGTCCCATTGTATGTATGTTCCAAAATCTATTGATCCTTTCTTCTACTGATGGACATTTAAGTTGTTTCCATCTTCTGGCTATTGCAAATAGCCCTTCGATGAGCATGCCTGTACCTGTATTTGAGTCCTTGTTTTCAGTTCTTTTGGCTGTAGTATATCCAGGACTGGAAATGCTGGTTCATAGGATGATTAATATGTTTAACTTTTGAGGAACCACCAAACTATTTCCATTGTGGCTGAACTATTTTACATTCCTACTGGCAATGTATAAAGGTTTCAGTTTCTTCACAACCAGTACCTCATTGTGGTTCTGAGTTATATTTGCCTAATGACTAATGACGGGAAGCTTGTCTCATATGCGTTTGGCCATTTGTATATGTTCTTTAGGAAGAATATCTAATCAAGACCTTTGCCCTTTTTATTTATTTATTTATTTTTATTTATTTTATTATTATTTTTTAATGTATTTTATTGTTTTACAGAGAGGAAGGGAGAGAGATAGAGAGCTAGAAATGTCGATGAGAGAGAAACATCGACCAGCTGCCTTCTGTACACCCCCTACTGGGGATGTGCCCACAACCAAGGTACATGCCCTTGACCGGAATCGAACCTGGGACCTTTCAGTTCGCAGACCGACACTCTACCACTGAGCCAAACCGGCTTCGGCCCTTTGCCCTTTTTAAAATTGAGTTGCCACCGAAACCAGTTTGGCTCAGTGGTTAGAGCTTCGTCCTGCGGACTGAAAGGTCCCAGGTTCGATTCCATCAAGGGCATGTACATTGGTTGCAGGCACATCCCAGTAGCGGGTGTGCAACAGGCAGCTGATCGATGTTTCTCTCTCATGGATGTTTCTAACTCTCTATCCCTCTCCCTTCCTCTCTAAAATATCAATAAAAATATATTAAAAATAAAATAAAATTGAGTTGTCTTTTTGTTGTTGTGTAAGAGTTCTTTATATATTCTAGATACTGGATATGTGATTTGAGGATATCTTCTCCCATTCTATATAGTTTGCCTTTTTTACTTTCTTGATTTGGTCCTTTGATGCACATAGTTTTTAATTTTGATGAAGTGAAATGTATCTTTTTTTCCTGTGTTGCTCATTTTCCTTTGTGTCATTATCTAAGAATCTATTTTAAAGTCATGAAGATTTACTTCTTTGTTTTCTGCTAAAGAATTTATAGTTCTTATATTTAGGTTGTTGAACCAGTTTGAGTTACTTTTAATACATGGTGAGACGTGTAGGGGCCTGACTTTAGTTTTTCTAGACCCGTGGTCGGCAAACTGCGGCTTGTGAGCCACATGCGGCTCTTTGGCCCCTTGAGTGTGGCTCTTCCACAAAATACCACGGCGTGGGTGAGTCTATTTTGAAGAAGTGGCGTTAGAAGAAGTTTACGTTTAAAAAATGGGGCTCTCAAAAGAAATTTCAGTCATTGTACTGTTGATATTTGGCTCTGCTGACTAATGAGTTTGCCCACCACTGTTTAAATCTAGACTGTTTGTTGAAGAGACTGTTCTTTCTCCTCTTGTCTAATCAGTTGACCAAAGATGTGTGGCTTCATTTCTAGACTCTATTCTATAATAAGTCTCTTCTTATACCAATACCTTACTATTCTGATTAAGGTAGTTTTGTAGTAAGTTTCAAATCAGAAAGTGTGAGTCCTCCAACTTTGTTCTTTTGTAATATTGTCTTGGCTATTCCATATGCATTTGAAAATTGGCTTTCCCATTTCTGTGAAAAGGCTATTGGCATTTTGATAGGGATTGTATTTCAATCTGTGGATCACTTTGGAGAATCTTGCCATCTTAGCAATGTTAAGTGTTCAATCCATTTACATGGTATGTCTTTCAATTTAATTTCTTTCAGCATTGTTTTGTATTGTTTAGTACAGAAGCCTTTTCACCTCTATGGTTAAATTTATTTCTAGATGTTTATACTTCATTTTCTTTTTAAATTTTTTATCCCTGGTGTATAGAATCTATACTGATCTTTGCTTGGAGATCTTATACCCTGCAATTTTGCTGAATTTATTAGCTCTAGTAGTTTTTATTTTTATTTTAAATATATTTTTATTGATTTTTTACAGAGAAAAAGGGAGAGGGATTGAGAGATGGAAACATCGATGAGAGAGAAACATTGACCAGCTGCCTCCTGCATGCCCTCTAACAGGGATGTGCTCGCAACCAATGTACATGCCCTTGACCAGAATTGAACCTGGGACCTTCCAGTCCGCAGACTGACACTCTACCCACTGAGCTAAACCGGTTTTGGCTCTAATAGTTTTGTTTTGGTGAGGGCATCTTTGGGATTTAAAAAAAATAAGTTTTTATTGATTTTTTAGAGAAAGAGAAGGCAGACGAAGAGAGGGAAACATCGATCAACTGCCTCCTGTATTGAACCTCCAATCCAGGCACCTTCCCTAACCAGGAATCGAACTGGCTACCACTAACTGAGCCACACAGGCCAGGGTGATATCTATCTATCTATCTATCTATCTATCTATCTATCTATCTATCTATCTATCTATCTAATAATACAGGATCATGTCTCCAGTGTATATAGTTTTACTTCTTTCCAGTTTGGATGCCTTTAGGTATTTCATTTTCTTACTTGGAGAGAATTCCCAGTACAGGGTTGAATAGCAGTGGTGAACATGAGCATACTTGTCTTGTTCCTGATCTTAGGGGGAGAGGTTTCAGTTTTTCACTGTTGAGTATGATGTTGGATATGGGTTTTCTTAAATGCTCTTGAAAAAATAAAATTTAGTAAAGTACCCTTTGCATAAAAAATTAAATAGCATTAAAAAAATTCAGTTTCTCAGCTGCGCTAGCCACATTCCCAGTACTCAGTAGCCATGTGTGGCTAGTGGCTGCTCTATTGGAGAGTGCAGATAGAGAATATTTTCATCATCGTAGAAGGCTCTATTTGGTAGTGTTGCTGTAGAGTCTAGGACAAAGCCACGAGTTTTGTAATGACCTTGACTGTAAATTGATTGGGAAGAGGTAAATATTAGCAGTGGCCAGAGGCTGTCCTTTCAACCCTTAAGTGCATTAATGCCCTTTCAGGTTGACCATGCCCAGGGCTAGTATTGATTTATCTGAACAGGTTCCTTACACAACAAGTAAGATATAAATGGGCATTAAAAAACAAACAAACAGCCGAAACCGGTTTGGCTCAATGGATAGAGTGTAGGTCTGAGGACTGAAAGGTCCCAGGTTCGATTCCGGTCAAGGGCATGTACCTTGGTTGTGGGCACATCCCCAGTAAGGGGTGTGCAGGAGGCAGCTGATCAATGTTTCTCTCTCATCGATGTTTCTAACACTCTATCCATCTTCCTTCCTCTCTGTAAAAAAATCAATAAAACATATTTTTAATAAAACAAACAAACAAACAAACAAACAAAAAACAAAAAACACCTGTAGGTAACTTAAATAACTTAAAATTATGTTATTTTACTGCTTTAGGTATAATTTTTCGTGTGTGTGTGTGCGCGCGCGTGTGTGTGTGAGAGAGAGAGAGAGTAAGAGAAAGAGAGAGAAAGAGAGATTGTACCTCCATGGCCTACAGTTGCTTTAAGTTTGTATCTAATAAACTTTTGGAGGCGAAGAGGAGTTGCAGTTATGCAACTGTATTAGTATTATTAGAATTTAGAATATTTACAGAGACGTGTTTATTTATAGAAGCCAAATTTGAGAGTAGTGAAAGATTGGATGAACATTATCTCTTCAGAATTCTACAAGGTAGCCTAGCCAGTGTGGCTTAGCTGATTGAGCATCCTCCCATCACTACAAGGTTGTCAGTTTGATTCCCAGTCAGGGCACAAGCACTGGTATCGATGTTTCTATCTCTCTCCTTTTTCCCCTTCCTCTCTCTGAAATCAATAAAAACATAAAAAAAGAAAAAGAATTCTAGGTAGAGCCTAGTTATGCTTATTATAAAATATAAATTTTAGTAAATTTAGTATCAATATTTTTTAGCATATGGTTTTTATTAAAAACTGTAAAATTTCATAGCACCCACTACCTTCTGCTGTCTAGGTCATGAAGGCACTCTTTTGGTGCAGGGGTGAAGAAATAGTCTGCAAGAGTAATTGACTTCTCACCTTTTCCCCCCTGAATAGGAGTACCTAGCTATAGGTAGGTCTTGTCTTTCTTTTCTTTTTTTCCCCCCTCCTCTTCAGGTTTTGCTATTGTCTCTTTCTGTGCAGTGAAACAATAGGAATTGCTGTCTCTTGGTCCCAGGTCATGGGTTAGAGCAATTAAAGTATAGCCAAAACGGGTTTGGCTCAGTGGATAGAGCGTCGCTTTGCAGACTGAAAGGTCCCTGGTTCGATTCCAGTCAAGGGCATGCACTGTGGTTGCAGGCACATCCCCATTAGGGGTCGGGCAGGAGGCAGCAGATTGATGTTTCTAACTCTCTATCCCTCTCCCTTCCTCAGTAAAAAAAATCAATAAAAACATATATTAAAAAATAAAATAAAGTATAGAGACCCTTTGGTACAGTCCCGCCCTCTTCAGTGACCTTCCCTCTTTCCAGATCACGTACTTCAGCCTCTGGTACTACAACAAGCAGAACCAGCGCCGGTGGGTGGATCTGGAGAAGCCTCTGAAGAAGCAGCTGGATAAATACGCCTTGGAGCCCACCGTCTCCTTAGGGGTGGTGTTCTATGTGCCCTCCGTGTGCCAGCTGCAGCAGGAGGTCACCAGGTGAGAGAGTCCCTGCTCTGCTTTCAGGAAAGGATCTCGTGTGGTTGGAAAAGTGAAAGGAAGGCTGCAGTGCAGGCTGGCCTTTGCCCTCCTGCTCCACATTACGTGGAGGTTCTGGCCTGCGGTGTGCCAGAACGCCTGACTCACTCACTGCCTTTGGATGAGTTACGGCTTCCCTGGCACAAAGGAGTGATTAAGGGGAAAACTTTTTCACCCCTGCTGCGAACTCTTCTCGTAGTGTGCTCGCTGATTTGTTTCTGACCTTTCTAACAATGAAAGGAGGGAGGGGGGAACATTTAGTCACAGAATCTGTGTTCCTTCTTCAAGAAAGTGTACAGCTGGGCTCTCACAATTCTTTGACCCCAGTGGCAGTGTGGGGTAGTGATGTGGGAGGGGGAGAGGGAGAGGCGGGAGGTGTTGAAGGTCCGAAAATGTTGACTAATATGTGCCCTTCCTCCCCCCCTTCTCCCTTCCCCTCTCCTCTCTCCTCTCTCCCTTTTTCTAAAGCAATAAAAACATGTTTTAAAAAATAGGAGTATTTTAGTCATAAAATCATGGTACAACGAGGACAGACATTTTTTTCATTTGAACAGAATGGAAATGATGACATTGGTATAGTACAAAGGCCACCCATCGTAGAAGGTAGATTAGAGGCGGCAAGACTGTAGGCAGGAGACCAGTTAGTAATGTCCACGCCATAACCTGGGCTTTAGTGTAGTATGTGGACGAAGGCATTAGCTGTGGGAAGGGCTGAGAGAGAGCAGGCCCCGTAGATTCAACCAGTATGATAACACATTAATTGGCTGTAGCAGAACCTGATGGATACTGGTAAGTTGTAGCAGTAAGGGTTAAGGATGTACTAAGGATGGCTATCTATAACAAAAGCCCTTAATGCCTTTGCCTTCTCCCGTGAAAGAAGGCCAGAGGTCAGCCCTGCTGAGCTTCTCAGACAGCTCCACCAGGTCTGCAAGGACCCATGCTCTGTCTCTTACTGTCCCACCGACCTCAGCGCACTGGTGCTCTTTCCATTCACTACGTAACCTCAGAGCCAAAGGGTCCTGGACATTGAGCTGCTGCAGTCACGTTCCAGGGAGCAGAGGCTAAACCCGGCTCTCCTCTCAGCAAGTCATGCTGCTTTAAGGGGCCTTTACCGGTTCCTCAGCCACACTCACCACATTTTAAAATATATATATAAAAACTTAAATATATAAACATAAGATATATATAAATCAATAAAAAAATATATATTTTTTTATTGATTTTTTTACAGAGAGGAAGGGAAAGAGAGAGTTAGAAACAATGATGAGAGAGAAACATCCATCAGCCGCCTCCTGCACACCTCCTACTGGGGATGTGCCTGCAACCAAGGTACATGCCCTTGACTAGAATCGAATATATCGACTTTGTAGTCTGCAGGCCGATGCTCTACCACTGAGCCAAACCGGTTAGGGCTCTCATTTTAAGTGTGGCTAATGGCTGCCCTCTGGGACAGCACAGATATATACCATTTTCATCACCGCAGGACGTTCTCTTAGACAACACTGCTCTTTACCTCTAGCAGTTAGCTCATAGGAGAAGAGATGGACACATCACATGTCCCCATGAGAGTACATCAGGCAAACCGAGAATGTGGAAAATTCTACATGATCAGTCACATCGTTTTATTTATAAGTAACATGAAAATAAAGAGGAGGCATTTCCCTCCCCCCCTAAAATTAAGAGAAATTTAGAAATAATCAAATGTAACCTGTGGACTTTGTTGGGATCCTGATTTAAAAAACAACTGTGAAAAGACTTGACGCAATCACAAAAATTGTTCATGGACTGGATGTTGAATAGTGTTAAGGCATTATTAGTCATTTATTTTGTTGGGTATATTAAAAGTGTGTATGTGTGTGTTTGTGTGTGTTTAAGCTGACCTTTTAGGGATATATACTGAAGTATTTGTAGTTGTTATGATACATTTGGAATTCTCAGGGTCAGGGAGGGGAGAACATAGCGGAGACGTGGCAGGCATAAAGTTGGCAATTGGTGAGGCTGCATGGGAAGGCTATGCAGGGTTTTTCTATTTATTGTCTGTATATCTTTCAAAATTTCTATAATAAAACTTAAATATATAAACATAAGATGTCTGTATATGAGTCTTTTATTACTAACCTAAGTAAAATAGCTGAAGACTACCTCACTCCAAATTATTTAAAATATCTGTTGTGCAAAATGAGGCACCTGATCTGTTATAATTATTATTATTTTTTAAAAATATATTTTATTGATTTTGTACAGAAAGGAAGGGAGAGAGAGAGAGAGTTAGAAACATCAATGAGAGAGAGTCATCGATCAGCTGCCTCTTACACACCCCCTACTGGGGATATGCCCGCAACCAAGGTACATGCCCTTGGCCGGAATCGAACCCGGGACCTTTCAGTCCCCAAGCCGACACTCTATCCATTGAGCAAAACCGGTTTTGGCTATTATAATTATTTAATGTAATCTTTTTGTGTAAAAATACTTTATGTTGGAAAGTTGAAAGTCGATAAGGCTTTAGGTGATATTTTTATTTGATCAGCCTATTTGGCTTTTGGGCACCATTATGGAATGCTTGCTTTAGAATTAACATGTGCAGTCTCTTTCCTTCCTTGGTTTAGACAGTTTTGAATTCAGGTTTGCATGCTACATTTTACCAAGGTGTTACTTTTTTAGACCGTATTGGCAAAGAGTGGATCTTCATTTCACATCAGGTCCCCAGCATCTCGGACAGTGCGTGATGCAGAGCAGGTCGTAGTAATCACCAGTTAAAGAGGGTAAATCAACGGGAGGAGAATAGATCTGCACTGTAGAGCTTTACCAATATGGAGAAATGATAACAGGAACTGATGGTGACTGGCTTAAAATAGATGGATACTGATAACAGTCGTAATAGTTACGGTTTTTTGAGTGCCAGCTGTGTTTAGTACTGTGCTGAAAGCTTTAAATTATATTCCTTCAATACTTTCAGCCTTGTGAAGGGGACGATAGCATTCCCATTTGGCCAGTGACAATTTAATCTATAGATTATGATTTGCTCAGATTCCTGCAGAATGCTAGATTGGAGAGCAGGAATGCAGCCTCGGTCTGTGTGACTGAAGCTTGCGCTGGTAACCAGTGTCCCGAATATTGAAAGTGTAATAATAAGTGAACTCATTTCACCAGAATATTAAGAAAGCATTTAGCAGCTATGCTTTTAGGGATTCCATCCAAACAAATTTCAATATAAACCTGGTTTGAAATATCAGGAACTGTTTTCTTATGGGCTTATTTTCCAGGACTGGGGATCTGAGTAAGCAAAGTCTTATGTTACCAAGGTACTAGTCAGAGTTTTTAAAGTAAAGATTGCCTATGGCATCTCTCTCCAACTAACAAGGACAGTATGTAGGGATTGTCTTATGGGGCATAAAATAAATGACCAGTTGTCTTCTACATGGTTACAGCTTTGAAATAACTGCAGTTAAGGAGAAGTAACTCAATAAATTGATTACATTGTGTGTGTGTGTGTGTGTGTGTGTGTGTGTGTGTGTAGGTCAAGGATGTTCTTGTTTTTCTTTGAAACCATCCAGGTTAAGGTTTTAGTTGACTAGTTTATGCTCCTTTAATAAATTATGGTAAAATGCATTGTCTCAATTGGAGCTAATGTTGGTGTTCACTTTTTAAAATTGACATTTCTTTTGTAGGTATCAGTATTATCTGCAGCTGAAGAAAGATATCTTGGAAGGAAACATTCCGTGTACATTAGAGCAAGCAATTCAACTGGCAGGCTTGGCTGTTCAAGGTAAATGATGACAACTGATACTGTACCCGACCTATCAGATTAAAACGGTTATAACGAAAACAGCAATGACTTCTTAAAGTAATGGACTTTCTATAGTAGTGTAAGTATATTGGTGAAATGTTTCTCTGTTACCGAAGCGGCTTTCTTGTGGGAAGAATGAATTTGGGTTTTCTAATGAAAGGAGACTTCTGGAAGAATAAACATGTTCTCATGTCAACAGAGAAACAGGAAAAAAATACACACACAGAACATTTGCATGCTAGGTATTCCTCTTGATTTGCTGCTAGCAATATTTTAGGAAGAAAGATCAGCCAAACAGTGAGATGGAAGAAATTATGACCACTTCTACTTTAGGCATACGTCACTTGTTTGGTTTCCTAAACAGTGTTCCTGGATCACAGAACATCAGTCATAACAGATCAAGTTTGCATTTCGCGGGTAGTTTTTTGGATTGTTTAATTCTGTCATTTTTCCTTTGCCCTAACAATATGCATTTACGCGGATATACAGCATATCCTTCTGATGGGCCATTTGTTTTGTATGATAACTGGCATTTAACCTTGGGAATTGAAATTTAGTCAGAAGAATTATTACTAAAATTTATCAGATATTAGCAGACGTGGAGACCTTATTATTTCTAGACAAACAGTTGCCTGACACGTAGAGTCACTTTCCTTTTCGAGGTTCTTTGAATCTTCCTACATGTCATCTTTGGCTTTAAGAGCTGGTTTTTCATAAACTTTTTGCCAAACTGTGATTTATTTTTAGCAGCTAAAATTTTCTAAACCAATACATCTTGCTGTAACATATTCAGATGATCTGGTTCCATTCTCAAGAGGTATAATCACCACTATGAACACTTTGGTTTCTTCCTGACATTTTTCTGTGCATGAGTAAGCCCACATGATTATGGGGCAGTTTTTTTTTTTTTTTTTAAATTATAAAGATGAGATCACATTACATACAGTTTGTAACTTATTTTTCACTTTATTAATAGGCATTTTCCAAGTTAAGACATATGAGTCTACCCAACTAATGTTTTAAGAATGATATTTTAAAAATACACTCTTTCTAGCTGTAATGCAGATTTGACTTCTGAATCAGAAGCACACCTTCTACGTAACGGCATATCGAGTCTAGTTGAGCATGCGTTGCTATGCAAATTAAACATAACTGACATGTGAATATTTGTTATTTTGTATAGCTGATTTCGGTGACTTTGATCAGTATGAATCCCAGGACTTCCTTCAGAAATTTGCCTTATTTCCTGTGGTAAGACTCCTTTTGACATTGGGCCTTTGTATAAACAGCTTATTTCCATTCCCTTAATACTCCCTGAAATGAATTCCAGGAATAGTGTTAAAGAATCAGTTCCCTCTGAGGAACAACGCAAGTATAAGTATTTTTCCTATAACACCTTTCTTGGTTGTGGTAAAGCCACGGGAACGGGAGGGTCTGCAGTCATGGGGCCATTCCCAGAGACATCTGTTTCATGTTTGGATGTTGAGTCTAAAGAGGGGGGATTCATTTCCCGCTTCTGAGGAGCCACACAGAGGTTTTGCTTTTAACCAAAGGCTTGAAACCTCCCAAAATTATGTTGAAACTAGAGACCCATAGCATGATATTCGGGTAAGAATAGGCCTTCCTTCTGGCTTCACTCCCAGCCGCCCAAAGCTGGCAAGTCCTTGCTTCTGTCTGGAACACCACTCCAGTAGTTCCCTGGGCCACCCTTTCCCTCATCGTAGGCTTCACCCTGCTCCCCGCCTGCATACACAAATTAACCACCATCTTTGTTGGGTTAATTTGCATATTCACTCTGATTGGCTGTGGGTGCAGCAGAGTGATGGTTAATTTGCATGTTTCTCTTTTATTAGGTAAGATAAATTTGGCTTCTCAGCAACAGTTTAAAAAGTAGATGATGGGAGGACACTGCCTTCTGTTCTGTTACTGGTTGCCTTGGCAGGAAAACTGCACTGGAGCAACCAGGGGAGGGATGCTCTTCTGAGCGTTGTCTGCATAGCCAGCGGGCGTGCACAGGTGTCCTAGTGCCGGGATAGCAACTGACCGTGGATGCTACCTACCTGACCTGACCCAGTGGGAACTTCCTCTGAGGCTGAGTGGAAAAGGCAGGGCGAGTGTTTGGGTCCTGAGCAGAAGCCACTAGATTCCTTAGGCAGACCATGATTACGGGTTGGGGCCAAGCTCTCCCGCATTCCTACCCATCCTGCTTCTGCATGACGATGAGGAGAGTTGGGTAGTGTCAGCAGCAACGAATCTTCCTGAGAAATTGGGGTGACTCGTGTACATACTTACTGCGGTGTGTTTTCTTCAGGGGTGGTTGCAAGATGAAAAGGTATTGGAAGAAGCAACCCAAAAGGTGGCCTTACTGCATCAGAAATACAGGTAATGCTGAGAAAGGAAGACTTGGCAATGGTATGGAACCAGTGCCTGTTTGAACTTGAAATGTGCATTGATCCAATGAAATTCAGCACTTAATACTGCTGCTGCTGCTGCTGCTGCTGCTGCTGCTGCAACCACTCCCCCTTCTGAGCGTCCGCATTTTCAGAGCACTCACTCTGTGCCGAGTGCTGGTCCAAGCACTTACCATATTACCTCATCTATTATCCATGTTGTCCCCGTGAGGAGGCTGAGACCGTTCAAAGGGTGCCCATCCTCCACCCCGAGTATGGAAGGTTTTGGTGCCAACCGATCCTCTGTAGGTCAGTTCAAGGTCGGAGAGACTTCTTTTCCTATGTGATGCAGCAGGCACAGGGTTTTCTTCTCTTCATCTTTGGATGCTGTATCTCTGTCCTCCGGGGAAGCTGTGCTAAGAGCTACAGTGCTTATTGCACTGACTTACCAGCCTGGTAGACAATGACTATCTTTGATTGTGAATCTGTAGGTGTTGTTGTAAGAAAAACCCTCCCCTGGAGAATGCTAGATCTCCATTCTAAAGCAAATACACAGTTCTAAGTATGTGATATATCATTCCATTCTTATAACCACTTTTTAAGTCAATGTCATTATCTCCTTACAGATTGGGGGAGCCAAGCTCAGAAAGACTAAATAACTTGCCCAAAGTTACAGGTGGTAGAGGTGGGATTTGGATCCAGGTCTGTCTGATTATAACCTATTGTTCATCCCCTCCCATTAAACATAACCTTGTGCCTTTAGTCTCTCCTCACTCAAATCCATACAATCGCTCACCAAGGATTAATCTTCCTAAAACATCACTGTTCCTCTCTCTTATCCTCCCCCCCCCCGCCCCCCCCCACACACACCCTTTGTCAGATGCTCGTGAATTTGTTCTTGCTCTTCACTAGCCTGAGTTCATTGCCCCTGGTGTTAAAGACCTCCTATGAACTGGTTAAATCCTGCCTTCCCCCACCCCAGCATAATGAATCCCTCAGGCCTACCTCCCCTTATCTTTTGTTCCATTCATTCATTCATCTGCTTAAAGACAGAGTGGAGGAGATAAGTTAAAAACAGTCACCTGCCATCAGAAGATGCATTCCATTCCCTGCCTTGCAGTCTAAGGGGTAGGCAGGACTACCCACCGAGGAGGCAGTTAGAACAATCAGAACGGAATACGGGAGCAGCGGGAAATGTGTACAGAATGTGGGTTTGCGTCGTGGGTTTGCATAGAGCTGGGATGTCTGACCTGGACTTGGGGTTCACAGCAGGTGATAGAGGAGGAGTGATGGATACCTAGGCCGAGCCTCGAGGGATAGGTGCACAGGTGAGCCACAGGCATCCTAGGAAGAGGAATTAGTGTGTGCAAAGGTCCAGAGGCCTGAGGGAACGTGGTGTATTCAAAGAAAGGCAGTGTTTGGGGAGGCTGAGGTATGGGGTGCCCTGTGGGTGTGGGGGAACAGCAAAGATGAGGCTGGAGAGGCAAGTTTTCATGCAGCTGAGCACTTTCTCTGTCCACACCACCTTCCTACCTACCCATCCTTCTGTGTCCCTGGAGTAAAAAGGATTTCCATCCTCCTAACTCTTACTTTCCGCACTTTGATCCCTTGGCATTGAGCATGGGATGTGAGCAGTTAGTGGCTTAGAAAGAATCCTAGCCTTTCCCCAAGATGTTCCAGGGGTTGTCTTACTGCCTGTGTCCCCCTCACCTGTCCAAAGCACAGGGAGAGGATCCTCCCTAACTAACCTCCGTGTGCAGCACCGTGCTTTGCATGTGGTCAGTTTTCAGTCAATGCTGGATTGATGTAACCCATGGCCGATGCTTAGAAACTTGGAATGTTTGTAATGTTTTAGGCCAATGCCTGTGTAGTATTTGAGAAAAGCTCTGTGGTTTTGTTTGTTGGTTTTTAGTTTTGTGGCTAATCTCACTGACATGGTTTGGGTTGTAGAGGGCTCGCAGCTCCGGAGGCGGAAATGCTGTACATGCAGGAGGTGGAGAGGATGGAAGGCTACGGGGAAGAGAGCTACCCTGCGAAGGTAAGCGGGACATGGCGGCCGGGGCGCTCCGAAATGGGTTTCAGGATTCCCGGGGGATAGCGGGGAAGCCCAGGGCGCCCTGCTGTGCAAAGGCCGACCTCATGCCAAGGCCGACCTCGTGCAAAGTTCTGGGTGTTTCAAAGCGGAGGTCCTTGTGGCCAAAGGGACGCATTGAACATGTAACTGATTTGCAGTTTGTTCTCTGAATGCTCTTGAGGGCATTCCTTATGGAGTCCATCTCTCTCTCTCTCTCTCTCTCTCTCTCTAATTGATTTTTTACAGAGAGGAAGGGAAAGGGTCAGAGAGTTAGAAACATTGATGAGAGAGAAATAATGATCAGCACTCCCGGTGTACAGGAGGCAGCTTATCATTGTTTCTCTCTCATCAATGTTGTGCCCACAACCAAGGTACATGCCCTTGACCGGAATCAAACCCAGGACCCTTTGGTCCACCGCGCCAAAGCAGTTAGGCTCTTATATTCACACATGTTTACGCACATTGGTAACTTTCAGACGTTTCCCCTTCAGAGCAGTTATCCTGTGAGTCTTCCGCGCATTCCCGCCTGGGAAAGAGGTTCGGGGACGGGGTGCCAGTGTGGCTGCTGTGCACCTGCCGCCTGAGTGTGTCTTTCTCCTTTCAGGACAGCCAAGGCAGCGACATCTCCATCGGAGCTTGCCTGGAGGGCATCGTTGTGAAGCACAAGAACGGAAGGCCTCCCGTGATATTTCGGTATTTTTCCTACATCGTTCCGTGCCGTTTCTGTGGCTCCCCTTTTTAGTCTCGATGTTAGTTATATTGCTCATAAGTATTCCCCCAAGGTCTCGTTAGGAATTGGAAATACGCCTTCCTAGGAAAAAATACCTCCTCACTGCCTGCTTCTTCTTGTAAGCCGCTTTCTTCAAAACAGGCGTGCAGAAAATGGTGCTTGTGATGGGGGTTGACTTGGGACATACTTAAAAATGCGCCCCTTTTCTTCCCATATGGAGGTGTTCTTTTTTTTTTTTTTTTTAAATATATTTTATTGATTTTGTACAGAGAGGAAGGGAGAGAGATAGAAAGTCAGAAACATCGATGAGAGAGAGTCATCGATTAGCCGCCTCTTGCACACCCCCCATTGGGGATGTGCCCGCAACCAAGGTACATGCCCTTGACTGGAATCGAACCCGGGACCCTTCAGTCCCCAAGCCGACGCTCTATCCATTGAGCCAAACCGGTTTCGGCTGGAGGTGTTCTTTTGATGTGTATTTTCATATGAGCTCTGATTTCTAGGGCTATTTCTTTTTTGTTAATCCTCACCTGAGGATATTTTTTCCATTGCATTTCAGAGAGAGTGGAAGGGAAGAAAGGAGCAAGGGAGGGAGGGAAGGACAGAGATGGAGAGAGAGAGAGAGAGAGAGAGAGAGAGAGAGAGAGAGAGAGAGAGAGAGAGAGAGAGAGAGAAACATTGATGTGACAGAAACACATCTACTGGTTGCTTCCCGCACTCAGAATGGGAAGCGAACCTTCAACCCAGGTGTGGGCCTCTCTAGGGAAGCACTGGGCCTCACTGATCTTGATGTCCTTGGGACCTAACCTCATTTCTGACCTTGTCATAACGCATACCCTTTTGCACATCTTTGTAAGATGTTTGTTGAATGAAGGAAGGGGTCATTGGCAACCGGCTCATGTAGGGACCTTGGATCTAACTCATCTGACAAATGGGGATAAATATATTTTACATTTTCAAGCATTCTTTGGCCTTATTTAATATACATGCACTTTATTGCAGCTCTGTGTTATCACTTCAATTAGAAAATGCATTAAAACAACAGTTTTATTTCCAAGATGATCTAATATTGATTTATGTATCAAGCTCAAACATGGAAATCACATGTTCCACCTCGTGGTGTGCGCATGAGCACTCACATCGCCGCTTTCTGTTTGTCGCTCTCTAGGTGGCACGACATTGCTAACATGTCCCACAATAAGTCCTTCTTTGCCTTAGAGCTGGCCAGTAAAGAGGAGACCATCCAGTTTCAGACGGTGAGTGGGCAGCGGGAAGAGCATGGGATGTTATTCCTGAAAGTTAACATGTTAGCATTTCTGTGTGTGTGTTTGGGGGGTTAGGGTGGGTGGCATTAAAATGATAATACTTTACAGTTTTATATAATTCTATAACATTTCACCTAATGGTAGTTTTGTCATAACAGTGCACTTGACAAAAGTAATTGCTCAGTGAATATTGTCGAATGAATCCTTAGATGACTACTAAATGTAAGCAACTAAATAGGGGAGAAAGTAAGCACTGATTCTTAATTTCCATTAAGTGAATAGCTCTGTAGAAAGATTATTTTACAGTGATTTGTTTTTGCTCCCTTAACACATGGCAGTATTGAGTCACCGAGTCAAATGTTTTGTTTAAAAATGTCTCTGAGTTACCTATTTGTCAAGATGAAAGTTGGTATTTTCATAACTTTTCAATTTCTAAGTCATTTTCAAGCTGTTTAATACAAGAATCACACTGTTTGGATAGATTTTTTTGTCTTCGTAATTTAAATCCTAATGATAGCATTCCTGTGAAGACACAGTATTGGAAAAGAAGAGAGTCCCAGTGTGTTAAAAGTGACTGGACATAATTACGCCTTGTCCCCAGATACACTCTGTGTCACGCTGTAAATGTGCTCTCACTTATTTTATGCATATTTTACTTACTAGGAAGACATGGAAACAGCAAAATACATGTGGAGACTCTGTGTGGCGAGGCACAAATTTTACAGACTCAATCAGTGCAGTCTGTAAGTATATCCTGCTCATGGTGGAGAAAAGAAGAAGTTTAGACATTTTCATCTTGAATTGTATTGTATCATCTAGAAAGGCCAGTTTTATGAAATATGATATTTCAAATGGCATTTTTATGATAAACTCTTGGCTGTTTTTGCATGTTAAAATGATATCTTTAAAATTTTTAAAATGTATTTTGCTTTGGACAAACTTCTAATAACTACAGATATGCCTCTAAGATTTCTTTGAACCATTTACTAGAATCATTCTAATTCTGAATATTTTTTATTTTTTTTAATCAGCACTTTGTGTAATTAAGGATTATTGCTTTCAAGCCATGTGAAGAATGTATGGCCCTTTTTCCTAACATAATTTTCTTAACCTACATCCACTGCCCCCTACTGGATCATTGTCATCAGCACATAAACATGCTGTAATATTTCACATCTTAAAACACTTTTCCTTTGTGCCACAAGCTCTCTAGCTGTGGCATTGTGTCTCTGCTCTCCTTTATAGTAAATTTCTTTCTGGTTTTTTTTTTTTTTTTTTTTTAATATATTTTGATTTTTCACAGAGAGGAAGAGAGAGGGACAGAGAGCTAGAAACATCATGAGAAGAATCATCGATCAGCTGCCTCCTGCACACCCCCTACCCGGGATGTGCCCGCAACCAAGGTACATGCCCTTGACCGGAATTGAACCCGGGACCTTTCAGTCCACAGGCCGACGCTCTATCCACTGAGCCAAACTGGTCCCGGCTGTTTTTTTTTTTTTTTTTTTAATATAAATATTTTATTGATTTCAGAGAGGAGGAAAAGAGAGAGATGGAAACTTCAATGATGAGGGAGAATCATTGATTGTCTGCCTCTTGCACGTCCCTTATGGGGATCGAGCCCGCAGCCCAGGCATGTGCCCTTGACGGAAATTGAACCTGGGACCTTTCAGTCCATAGGCCGATGCTCTATCCACTGAGTCAAACTGTGCAGTCCGCCCGTGCGGACTGTTGGAGTGTCCGTGTCTGTGTTGTGATGCGCTGTGTCTGCCTTGTCTGCCCTGGCTCCCTGAGGGCAGGCTCCTCCCATCCATCTGTGTGCCCTGGAGCCTGGCGGGGGGCCTCGTGTTCAGGCTCAGCACCTGGTGGAAGCTTGTATGATCCAGTGATGGATCCGTGGGGAGAAGAGCACTCTCGCTCCTTGTTGCTTTCCTTTTACTGCTGATTGTCAATTGGGGAAAAAAATGGGCCAGAAGGTAGAGGAAAGGCTGGGGAGTGCTTGTGTTTTACAGGGACCTGGGGGTGAAGAGAACCTCCGTCAGGAGAAAATGTGCAGAACCACCTGACGATTAGCACTTAGGTCCCCATCCTCCCATCTCTGCATCCCTGCATCCCTGCATCCCTACATGCGTGTTTTCAGCCGAGTCCTCCTGCTGGTCTGGTGGTGGGGTTTCTGAAAGCACCAGCTGGCGGGGAGGACCACCCCTGCTTCCTTGTGGATGTGGGAGCCTCTGCTTGCTGCCTGGCTGGGATTTGGGGTGCATTTCTGGATGGAAATGTTCTGCTGCTGCTAGATTCAGCATGGTTGCATTTGGGGCTCCTCCGGGCTGGCCCACCCACCCAGCCACGTGTGACGTTATTTTTATGCAGAAGTGAGTCTGAGATTCAGAGAGCAGGTATGCAGCCTTCTGGTCCACAGCCTTTTCACAAGAATAAAGCCTTTCATATGTCGAAGAGAATCCATATTACCGACCCATCATTATCTCAGTTTATTCTTTTTCTGGAAAATAATGAAAAATCAATGGTTTTGAATAAGTCATAGGTATCATTCCTTTCCCGCAGGCATCCGTCTTAGTTGGTGCCACATTTTGTTTCTAATCTCTGTACATCCAGTAGATCGTGAAAATCCATTTGCGTGAGGTAGTCCTATGTAATTCTTCTTCGTGACGGTCGATATCCATGTCGCTCTGTGGAAAATGAGTGTGTTTCATTGTGAGCACTTGTTTCTCCAGGTGAAGTAAACGAAGGCTTAGCTTTTTGGTAGGTAATAAAATGGAAAATAACTAATTTTATGGCCGTGTCTTCTAAGGTTCTAAACCTAGGCAAGTATTGGTAGACTTGTTCTCACGGTCCAATGGGGTCAACTCAAGCGAGGTGAGCATTTAATGAGACTGCAGCGGGCCTAGAATTTGCTTGTCAGGATTCCTTTTCTCCCCCAGGCTTTTCCTGAGGTCAGGGTTCGATTCCCAGTCAGGGCACATGCCTCGGTTGTGGGCTCGATCCCTAGTAATAGGCTTGCGGGAGGCAGTTAGTCAATGAGTCTCTCTCATCATTGATGTTTCTTTCTCTACCTCTCCCTTTCTCTCTGAAATCAATAAAAATATGTTATGTTTTAAAAAAATATATATATTTTATTGATTTTGTACAGAGAGGAAGAGAGAGGGATAGAGTTAGAAACATCAATGAGAGAGAGTCATCAATCAGCTGCCTCTTGCACACCCCCTACTGGGGATAAGCCCACAACCAAGGTACATGCCCTTGACCGGAATCGAACCCGGGACCTTTCAGTCCGCAGGCCGACGCTCTATCCACTGAGCCAAACTGGTTTCGGCAATAAAAATATGTTTAAAAAAAAAAATCTCATTCCTCTGTATTAGCCATAAATCTATAATAAAAAAAAAAGAAGCCGACAAAGTAAAATTCAGACAGCTCCTAGAAGTACAGCTCAGCTGCCCGTGCTTAGCAGTGAGCATTCTTTCCCTCCTCACTCACAATGTCTTTGGTTCAGCAAAGGGCTTCCTGTGAGCCAGGCACCATGGTACCGTGGTGTGTGCTCCTGCCCCCATGGGCCCTACAAAGCAGGTGGGGTTGTGTGTGTGTGTGTGTGTGTGTGTGTGTGTGTGTCAGGTCTAGGGGGGCGGGTAGGTTCTAGGCATATAATCAGTTATCAAGAGCCTGCGCCCAGGAAGCTGACAGACCTGCCTGTTCAAATGCCGGTTCTGCTGCTGCTTTTCCACATGACCAGCAGTAACTTACTTCATCTGAGTATCAGTTGCTTCATCTGTGAAATCAGGGTGACAGCCGCCCTCCCGCACGGGGCTGGTGTGGGCTCCACGGAATGATTACGCTCCGTCTTCAGCCCTGTCTCAACAAGTCCTGCCGTTTATTCCCCTCGGGGCTGGCAGCCTTTTCTTGTGTTTTGTCTTCCCCGATGCACGCATTCCAGTGATTTCCTTCCTGCATTCTTCACCGGCCTTGTGTCAGCAGCTCCCATCAGCATTGAAAACGGCCCCCAGAGTCTGGAAAACACACCAACAGTTCCCCCACGTTGTGTCGTATATTGGGTGCGGGGTAGCTGGTCCCAAATAAAATGCATCAGCAAGGATACTGGCAGGAAGAAAGGGGAGGTTAGAAAATTAGAACGAGGGCTGGGCTGACCCTGCCAAACTGCGTGGCAGGAGAAAGAGGTCCTTGCTGGTGTGTGTGCAGCGGGCAGTGTCGCCCACGTGCTGGGCGCTGCCGGCCAGGGTAGTGGTGGGGGAGCTGCTGCCGGTGTCCCGGGCTCTGCCTCCCGGGTGTGTGTCTGACACACCGCGGCTGACTCTGGCTGCAGGCGGGGCAGCTCTGGACATGTTTGAGGATTCTGTCGGCAATCCTTCCTCCCAAGTCTCAGTTTCACATTTGTAGTGCTTTCAAGTTCAGTCCACGTCAGTGAGTCTCTGGGCTAAATAGAAACTTCAGAAGACCAGTTTGCCTAAACCTACCCTGAGAGAATGAGCTTGGAGAATGAGCAAAGGCAGAGTGACTTTCAAGGCTGCAAAAAGTGCAGTGTCTTCACATTCTGGGCACAGATTTTAGGAATATGAACACGCAGTTAAGGACTATTTAAAAAAAATAAAGCCTAGACACAGCCTCCTCCTTCTCCTCCTTCTCCTCCTTCTTAAATATATTGTTATTGATTTCAGAGAGGAAGGAAGAGGGGGAGAGAGACAGAAACATCCATGATGAGTGAGAATCATGTATCAGCTGCCTCCTGCAAGTCCCCGTCTGGGGGTCAAACCCACAACCCGGGCAAGTGCCCTTGACCAGAATCGAACCTGGGACCCTTCAGTTCGCAGGCCAACGCTCTATCCACTGAGCCAAACAGGCCAGGGCAGACACAGCTTTCTCACCTGCTTCACCAAGGAGGCCTCCTTCTCTTCCGGCATGTGTGGTATTTCTGTAGTCTAACGGAAGTGGTGACCACTACGTTGAGTCACATAAATCCTGGCAGAACGGAGCGTCCTTGGGAAAGAGACATCGGCTCATCAGCAAGGTTATTTATTACATTCCAAAGATAATGAAAGAAGTTATTAAAGCCTTTAATTTAAAAAGAATCATCTGGTCAAAGCGGTTGTAGTCGCCTGGTGGTAAGCTAGTGGACAGGGTTTGAATGCGATGTCCGTTGTGAGAGCGCTAGGAATGCCGGCCGGGGAGACGGGGCTCGGTGTCCTGGGGCCTGAGTGTTCACTCTGTGCTGTGGGTTTGTAGTCATTAGTCCTTGGAGCAGTGCAACCGAAGGTCACAGCATATTTCTGTAATCATAATTACGTGTCAGAACAAAGGGTGAAAGGGTTTTTTTTAAAGTGCTTTGACAAAATTATGTAAGTCATCAAAGCCAAGAATCCGTCGTGCTTATGTTCCTAGCTCTTACTTTCAACAAAACTGACCACACAAAAACACAAAATGCCTACCTCTGTGTAAAGACTGTAGAATTACAAATGGGCTTCTCTGTTGCTTGTTTCTAATTTTATTCAGAGACGAGGCTTGTCGGGACTAGTTTAAACCCTCAGACTAACTGGTAAATGTTGGCTGGCCCTCCTTCTTGTTCTCATTGCTCTTTAAAAACATTTAATTTTTCCCACCACCATTGATCCCTTCCATGCTCTCTCCCACCTCCATCATTCTCATTGCTTTTTATTTTTATTTTTAATTTAAAAAAAATATATTTTATTGATTTTACACAGAGAGGAATTGAGAGGGATAGAGAATTAGAAACGTTGATGAGAGAGAAACATCGACCAGCTGCCTCCTGCACACCCCCCCACTGGGGATGTGCCCACAACTAATGTACATGCCCCCGACCGAAATCGAACCCCGGACCCTTCAATCCCCAGGCCGACGCTCTTCCACTGAGCCAAACTGGCTTCGGCCTCATTGCTTTTTAAAAAGTACATTTAAAACCAGAGAGAAGTTTCTTGAAAGAAAGGCAAAGAAGTGGGTTTACCACAGGCACACTAAAACAATTTCCCTACGTTTTTGCTTTCTCTAACTTAATTCCTTAGAAGAAACACAGATTCTTAAGTTACCGAAGTTACAAGCTTATCTCTTCATTATGTTTGGAGTCTGTGGTTCACAGAGTTTAACTAAAGGCAGTTGCTTCTGGCTTTGGGGCTGGCATCCGAAGGCCGCCCCTCGGGTGTGTTAGAGGGGTGGTCAGTGCTGAGCCAGGCCTGTGGAGCTATGCATTTGCCCTGTCTTGCTGCCTCTGGGGCGAGTTTGTGGGTGGCCTGGCCTCACCTCCTCCCCGCTCTGCTTTTCCTGGAGGGACCGGGGGGAGGGACTGGAGGGACCCGTCTCCCCCCCATCTCCCGTCGTCCCCTCCTGTAATCCAGGCAGCAGATGCTGCGGGAGGAGGCTCGGCCCCTGGCGGGGTCAGAGAGGCCTGGGCAGCGGGATGGGGCCGAGGCCATGCAGGGATGGGGATCCTCCTTCCTTGTCTCAGACTTGAGATTGGATTACTTTGTCTTTTGCATGGGAACCTATATCATGTTACCGTCCTATTAATTTCTTCTGGTAGAATTAGGAAAATGGCATGTATGTATGAGAGAGTGAGTGAGAGAGATAACGTACGTATACTCTTCTAAGGACACGCCTTATTTTACAGGCAAACACCGACCGTCACCGTGAACCTCATTAGGAGGAGGTCGTCTTCAAGGATGTCTCTGGTAAGAAAGAAGGAAAGCCACGCTGGCTGCGTTTCCGTTAGTGCAGGGGTCGGCAAAATCATTAGTCAACAGAGCCAAATATCAACAATACAACTATTGAAATTTCTTTGGAGAGCCGAATTCTTTAAACTTAAACTTCTTCTAACGCCACTTCTTCAAAATAGACTCTCCAGGCCGTGGTATTTTTGTGGAAGAGCCACACTCAAGGGGCCAAAGAGCTGCATGTGGCTTGAGAGCCGCAGTTTGCCGACCACAGCCTGAGTGATTCATCTTTCTTAATAGAGTAGGCTTATGGCAGTGCTGATTTTTAGTGTGAACACAAAAGCGTGTCAATATTCTATTGTTTTTGACCAAAGAAATGGTGATTTCCATCCTCCCCCCCAAAAGGGTAAGCCCAGTCTTGGTATAACATTTATTAGATTATACATTGAAATATTAGGTCGAATCTAATGTTTAAAGTTTTGACTGTGGGCCAAGAGTAATCAGGAGTTCGTAGATATTCTTTTTAATTATATTTTATTGATTTTTTTACAGAGAGGAAGAGAGAGGGCTAGAGAGTTAGAAACATCAATGAGAGAGAATCATCGATCAGTTGACTCTTGCACACCCCCTACTGGGGATGTGCCCACAACCAAGACCGGAATTGAACCCAGGACCCTTCAGTCTGAAGGCAGACGCTCTATCTTCTGAGCCAAACCAGTTTTGGCAGGAGTTTGTAGATAATTTAAAGTACTGGACAGTTTTGCCTCCTAAAATGAAATATACTCCCTATAAGCTTCTGACATTCATATGTTTACAGGAGGATTCAGGACATTTTTGCCTATCCCTCCTTGCCCGTAACTTTTCGGACGCAGCACTTCTCCTGTGCTGTGTGATGTCTGCCCTCAGTGCGTGGGGACTGGCATTGCCACTCGGGGAAGCAGTGAGAATGGCAGATAGGAGCTACGGATTTTTATGTTCGCTTTTCATGTATGTCTGTGCTCCTTTGGGAGTGTCTTAGTGGAGAGGAAGAAGCCAGCAGACAATGCCTTTGCATGTTACCTAGGCAGTGTGTTCTAACCCCGCCTCCAACTTCCCATTTTTCAGCCTAAGCCTCAGCCCTATGTGATGCCCGCCCCACCCCCGCTGCATTACAATGGACATTACACAGAACCCTACACTTCTTCTCAAGGTAAGGGGCACTGGCTCTCAGGGGCCTGACAGCATGATTACAGTTTGAATATATCAGGAGATTTGGGAACCTTGAAGCCAGTATAATTTTTGACTGAAGTGACATGCAAAATTAGTGTGATGATTGTAGCCATGCTAGATTCATAGGATAGGCCGCCATTATATTCTGTTTCTTGGACATGTATAGAAAACATGCAGTGCATTAGTTCCCCCTTGGGGAAACTAAGGGCTGCTTCATCGGTCCAGTCAAACGTGTTTTTGACTTTAAGAAAAAGACAGTGTGTTGTGTTGCAAGTGTACTCTTTGAATTTCAAATCTTTGACTTGATTCTTGTGATCCTCCAATCTGCTGAATAATATTTTTTTATTTCAGTCAGTGTATGCTTAATTTCTAATTGGTCCTTTTTCATATCCTCGAGGGTCTCACTAAATGTATGGGCCTTTTCTAGAAAATTCTTGAAAAACCTTATAACTGTGGTTTTGAACTCTATATTCAATCGTTTGCTTCCCTCCATTTTTTTTCATTTGTGACCTGCTTCTTTGACTCTGCATTTTGGCTGCTTCCCTGAGTTGATAGAGTGGCTTTGTGGCTAGGTATCCTATAGGGCCCAGTGGCTCAGCCTTCCCAGTTACCTGAGATAGACACTCTTGGTGCACTCCCTTGTGGGCTGTGTGCACAGTCTTGTTGTAGTTAAGCCTTGATTGTTGTTGGTATCACTGGGAGGAATTGACCTCCAGGCCAATTGGCTGTGAGGATCAGCTGTGTCTACATTGGGAGAACTTCTGTGCTGGAGAAACTCTTATGAGACAAGGCTTACAAAAACCTCTGTGCTCAGTTTGGATGGGGCGGAGTCTCAGGGCAGAGCAGACAGCAATGGCTTCCTGTCAGCTCTGCTCTAAGAAGCCCCTGGGTCTCAGTGTCCTGCAGTAATCACTGCAGGCATCTCTGAGAGAAAGCCACCTTTGAGTGTTGCCCGCTGCCAGACAGTCCAGTTTCTCCTCGAATGAATCTGGGTCCCAAGAGTCTCGCCTGGAATTGGAGTTCAGAGCAGTTGGAAGCTTTTGTCTCCCTCCCAGTTGAGAAAGCCAGCCATGTATTCAGTTGACAGCCCTCTCTGCGCACGCACACACCTCCGTACCTCTGCCTTCTGTAGCTCCTCTGAGTCTCAGTGCTTTTCTCTTTCCTTCTAGTTGTATAATTTCCACTCAGCCAGCCTTCCTGTGGTTCTTGGATGATGTCCGTTTTGTCTTTTAGTTGTAGTTTTGAAATTATTGTGTGAGGCAGCAATTTAGGTGTTTACCTATGCCACCATCTTGGTTTCTCGCAATTGTACTTTTAATATTGGACTAGATTTGCCTCATCGTTATTGCGTGCCATGTCCTGAACTTCATCTTCGGAGTTGGCGGAGCCATCCCATACTATAGACGAGGAAATGACCTGCCCAGGGTCACTCAGTATGTGTGGGGGGAAGTCAGGTCACTTCAGTACCATTTCCATAAACTACATCATCAACATTCAAGATCCCTCTCAGTGTCTGTCTAGAGTAATTAGTCTGGTCTAATCCATTTAAAAAAACAAAAAAAAAACAAAAACAAAAACCAAACCTCATTTTAAACTATATTTTACTGTTTTCCCCCAGATAACCTCTTTGTCACCAACCAGAATGGATACTACTGTCACTCTCAGACCAGCCTGGATCGAGCCCAGATCGACCTCAACGGTCGCATCCGGAACGGCAGCGTCTACAGCGCCCACAGCACCAGCTCCTTGAACAACCCCCAGGCCTACCCGCAGCCCTCACCCATGTCCTCCAACCCCAGCATCACCGGGAGCGACGTCATGCGGCCCGACTACATCCCGTCCCACCGGCACAGCGCGCTGATCCCCCCGTCCTACCGGCCGACCCCCGACTACGACACGGTGATGAAGCAGCTCAACCGGGGGATGGCTCCCGCCGAGCGGCAGAGCCACTCGCTGCGAAACCTCAACATCGGCCACTCGTTCGCCTACAGCCGGCCCGACGCCGCGCTGGTCTACAGCCAGCCCGAGATCCGGGAGCACGCCCCCTTCCCGTCCCCCCAGTCCGCCCACTACCCGTTCAGCCTCAACTACAGCTTCCACAGCCAGTGCCCCCACCCCTACGCCGCCGAGCGGAGGCCCGTGGTGGGCGCCGTCAGCGTGCCCGAGCTGACCAACGTGCAGCTGCAGGCCCAGGACTACCCGGCCCCCAACATCATGAGGACCCAGGTGTACCGCCCGCCCCCGCCCTACCCGCACCCGCACCCGCGGCCCGCCAACAGCACCCCGGACCTGTCCCGCCACCTGTACATCAGCAGCAGCAACCCCGACCTCATCACCCGGCGCGTGCACCACTCGGTGCAGACCTTCCAGGAGGACAGCCTGCCCGTGGCCCACTCCCTGCAGGAGGTCAGCGAGCCCCTCACCTCGGCCCGGCACGCGCACCTGCAGAAGAGGAACAGCATCGAGCTGGCGGGGCTGACCCACGGCTTCGAGGGCATGAGGCTCAAGGACAGGACCATGTCGGCCTCGGCCGCGGACGTGGCCCCGCGGGCCAGCTCCGCGGGGGGCTCCCAGCCCAATGTCTTTCCGGACCGGACAAGACGGGGAGAGGCGGCCGAGCAGGAAGGCCTGAGATATGGTCACAACAAGTCCCTGTCCGAGGCCACCATGCTGATACACAGCAGTGCGGAGGAGGAGGAGGAGGACGAGGAGGAGGAGGAGCTGGAGGAGGACGGCAGGGCACGGGCTGTGCTCGCCCCACGCACACGGGAGCCCCGGGGCAGTCACTCCCAGGAGCCGCCGCCTGCAGGCTGCTCCTGCACCGCGGCCTCCCCGGGCGTGGGCCCTCTGCACATCCACGAGCCCAAGGCCCACGTCCCCGAGGCCGAGAGGAGGGGGAGGGAGGGCAGCCCCGTGCACATGCCGGCGGAGGCCCGGCGGTCCCGGAGGGAAGGGCTGCTGACGCCCTCCATGTCCGAGTCTGACCTCACCACGTCGGGGAGGTACCGGGCCAGGAGGGATTCTCTGAAGAAGAGGCCGGTGTCCGACCTCCTCTCGGGAAAGAAGAACATCGTGGAAGGGCTTCCACCGCTGGGGGTAAGTGTGAGGGGTGCAGGGGAGCCACAGCCACCCACCCGCTCAGTGCCCTCCAGGCTGGGGTTTCTCAGCACCTTCTGCGCTCCTCGATCTCTTCTCTGGTTCAGTATTTTTTTATGTTTCCAGCTCTTTTTCTTTCTTTTTATTTCAGAGAGGAAGGAAGAAGGAGAGAGAGATGAAAACATCAATGATGAGAGAGAATCACCGACCGGCTGCCTCTTGCGGCCCCCATTGGGGATCGAGCCCACAACCCAGGCATGTGCCCTTGACTGGAATCGAACCTGGGACCCTCCAGTTTGTAGGCTGATGCTCTATCCACTGAGCCAAACCAGCGAGGACCAGCTCTTTTCCTTTTAACATTTTTTTATCCCTCTTCTGCCCTTGACTGGTGTTTGGTTTATTTGAAACGCATTTGAGTTCAATTATCTATGGAAGCGATAGAAGTTGATGACTTGTTAGTGGTTTTTCTGGAGATAGATTAAATGTAAAGGTTGGGAACTCTGTGGAATGGAGTAGAAAGAATGAATGGAACGCTTCAGCCACGCAGGGTGAAGGGAAAGTGAGCTGAGGTTTGGTGACCTGAGCCCAGTTTGCTTTGTCCGCCGCCTGTTTGCAGTCCCTGTGCTGACGCAGCAGCCAGGGCCGCCTTTGTTCCGTTTGCTGCTTTCTCCTGGGATGTCCGAGAGCAGCATCCGCACCGGGCAGTGTTCCTCACGCATCCGTGTGCCGGGCGTGTGCATGCAGCTTCGGATGTTGGCTGTGATCCCTGAGGGCTGTAGCATGATCCTGGGGTTGGGAAGGTGGCCCTTGGTCAGGAAAGCTCCAGGTCTCTTTGAAAGAAAGATGAACTGAGAACCCAAGGAAGGTCCCTTGTAGAAAATGCAGGGAACCCTAACCGGTTTGGCTTAGTGGATAGAGCATCGGCCTGCGGACTGAAAGGTCCCAGGTTCGATTCCGGTCAAGGGCATGTACATTGGTTGCAGAAGGGGGTGTGCAGGAGGCAGCTGATCGATGTTTTTCTCTAATCAATGTTTCTAACTCTATCTCTGTCCCTTCCTCTCTGTAAAAAATCAATAAAAATATTTTTAAAAAAGAATATGCAGGGTTACTAGTAAAATAGTCAGGATAATAAGTAACCTTGACCTGGTTAAGCACGCCTTACCCATTGGAAGGGAAATGTAAAAGAGCGTAACATCATCCCTAGATGCCTTTTGCATAGCATCTGCGTGCGCTTTACCCGGTCCAGTCTACAGCAGGCCTATTGTTCCTGCGGGTGAGGAAGCGGACTCAGATATTCAGTAGCTTTCCAAGGTCGCAGAGCGAGTGAGGGACTGGCATTTATCTCTGCAATGTGTTCTCTTATCTGCTACATGGTTCTCCGGCGGTTATACTGTATATAATGTGTTGTTAAGTAATAATTTCTTATCTAAGCCTCACCCTTCCCACCGAAACCTTCTAACTTTGAGTCCCCGAGCTTTGGCCAAGCCTGCGTGGCCTTGGCCTGCCAGGGTGTCCACTCTGAGACGTCTCGCTGCAGTGCTCAGACTTCCGCTCCTCACTGCCTGGTCCTCCACTCCCAGCCAGAAGCCATGCGCTGACCTGTCCATTCTATCTCACATTGCTCCCGTGTCCTGGCAGCTGGGATTCCTCCAACCTCAGACATGGGGCCCATCGCCAGCGTGGTTCCGGCCTTGTATTTTTTAAAAATATATATTTTGTTGATTTTTTACAGAGAGGAAGGGAGAGGGAGAGAGAGCTAGAGACATACATGAGAGAGAAACATCAATCAGCTGCCTCCTGCACACCCCCCACTGGGGATGTGCCCGCAACCAAGGTACATGTCCTTGACCAGAATCGATCCTGGGATCTTTTCAGTCCGCAGGCTGACGCTCTATCCACTGTGTCAAACCGGTTTTGGCTGGGCCTTGTATTTTAGATCCTCTGAGATGCTGTAAGCATCTTCATAAATAGGAAAAAGTTCCCACGATGTTATTGTGCTTATGAAATAGATAAGTACCCATAAATTAAAACTACTTATATTAGTGCTGTGGATTTAACTGTGTTTTCTTTTAAAATATATTTTTTATTGATTTTATACAGAGAGGAAGGGAGAGAGATAGAGTTAGAAACATCGATGAGAGAGTCATCGACCAGCTGCCTCTTGCACACCCCCCACTGGGGATATGCCCGCAACCAAGGTACATGCCCTTGACCGAAATCGAACCCGGGACCCTTCAGTTCCCAAGTCGACGCTCTATCCATTGAGCCAAACCGGTCCCGGCTTAACTGTGTTTTCTTTTAATGAATTTTGGGTTTGAGTAATTTAAGTTTACTTCTAATTTTGGGGGAGAGCACATTCTTACTCCCCTACCTGTGCAGTCAGGCCCCTGCCTCAGGTTGGCTGAAGGTGTGAGCTCATCACCCGTGGCTCAGGGTGGGGCAGGGGGTGGGTGGATGTGATTCCACAGCAACCCCGCTGGAGCCCCTGAGCCAGCTGCACAGTCCCTTTCATAGTTAATACTCTTTCCTAAGTACATCATGATGTCCATCATTTTCATGGGACCGAGTCTTTTCCCCAGAAGATACTTGTTTCAGTGTGGTCCAGTAGTCAGGCCTCTTGTCACTGTGTGTTTTTAGTGGGCCTAGCAAGTCCTGCTAATTCTGAGGATTTTGACCAATTTGGTTCCCTAAAAAAACAGACTTTTCTCTCTCACTGACTTTTAAGACCTACAGGATTAATTTAATAAGACTATGCGATTGGCTTTTGCTTTTGCTCCCCTTCTTTTCTCTTAAGGGATTCTCTTTACTTGAAAAACGTGCATGGGAGCTGGGGCCAGGGGATAGTGCCCTTTTTAAAAATTATTATTATTAGTTCTCTGCTCAGTGGGCGAGACCCTCGTGTACCAGAGCCTCAGCTTCCCTGTCTGTCACACAGGGGCAGTCATCTCTGCTCTGCCTGCCGTGGCATGAAGTTTTCCGTAAGGATAGGCATGAAAATTGCTTCTGAATTCTATATGATTTTATTGAAAGGTGCTATTTATTGTTTTGACACCGATGACCATTTCTCTATATGAAGAGGCAGCTGTGTGACCTTGGGCAGCTTTTTAATCTCTCTGACTCAGTTTTCTCTTTTGTCAAGGAAGAGGAGCCCAGAGAGTTGTTGGGGGGATAGAGTGAGCTCCGCACACAGGCAGTGCTCAGATTTAACCTGCTCCTGTGATGTGGCACCATACATTTCCCTTACCAGCTTCCCCAGAATTGAATAGCTCAGCCCTGTTGCCACTGTATCGCTTAACTGTGACAACCAAGACACTCAGCTCACACACCAAGGTGAATCGAGGTTACAGAGGCTTAGGATTAAAAACAGTGACATCAGTTGCAGACACGCAGGATCACTTTTGCACTCTCCACCCATCTCCACCTCAGGGACGTGATCGCTATCTGAAAAGATGAACTGGTTTGAGTGCTCATGCAGCTGCATAAAGATTTTCTTTGCATTGTACAGTCTTAGTGCTGTGTGGTGGTTCTCTCGTAAGAAATCACCTGCAGGTGTTCAGAGCCACGGGCTTGTCCTCTCAGGGCTAAGGAAGGGGTATTGGAGGCTGCTTTTGACTCTATGCCCGTTTCCTCAAACACTGGCCTTAGAAGTAGCCTGGCAGCCAATCAGCTTCCTCCACCTGATCTTCGGCGGGGGCATCTTGACCCACCCCATCCTGAACGGTGAGAACTGACCGTTAAATCTTCAGGACTCTTGTGATTCAGTTGATGTTACATCGACAGTTTGAAATGGGCCATGGTGGGAGTATTTGTTTCATGGAAACTGGCAACCTTGACAAATCAGAACTTTGCCCCACTGGAGAGCCAGTGTGTTTTGCACACGTTAGAATCATGAAATTTTCACCTGCACAGGAACCTTTAGTCTCCCTCTCTCTTCTGTTCCCGTCTCCCTCCTCCTCCCTGTCTCTCAGGCTGGTAGAGTTGGTTCATTTATGAGGCAGAACTGAGAACTGCTGTTAGGATAATTATGACTTCCAAGATGGTGCAGAACAGCTAAGGAAACTTAGCATTCTTAGGCTTATTTGCCTTAGAGACAATCACTCACTTTAACCTTAAGTTTAGGAACATCTGATCTCAGGAGAGAGCTTCTGTTGATGTACTCTCTCTTTTTATTTTAAAAATATATTTTATTGATTTTTTACAGAGAGGAAGATAGAGGGATAGAGAGTTAGAAACATCAATGAGAGAGAATCATCAATGAGCTGCCTCTTGCACACCCCTACTGGGGATGTGTCTACAACCAAGGTACATGTCCTTGACCGGAATCAAACCTGGGACCTTTCAGTCCCCAGGCCGACGCTCTCACCACTAAGCCAAACCGGTTTCGGCTCTCACTCTTTTTAAATAAATGTGTTTTTATTGATTTTGGAGAGAGGAAGGGAAAGGGAGAGAGAGAGAAACATCAATGAGAGAGAACCATCAGCATCAATGGGCTACCTCCTACCCGCCCCCTACTGGGAATCGACCTCACAGCCTTGGGCACATGTCCTGACCAGGAGGTGACCTCTTTGTGTGTGGGTTGATGCTCAACCACTGAGCCACATCAGTAGGATATGATGATGTGCCTCTCTTATATCTGATTATTCTGGTGTCATGATGGAGATTTTAGTCCTGCTTGGTTTTCCTGGTTTAAAAATGTGGTGATCCAACTCAGGTCACACAAGCCTGAAACATAACACAGAACAGAACAACATGCTACCATAGCAAACATTCCATTTTTTCCCCCCAGAATGATTTAAAGAACTAATATATATATATATTTTTTCTAATTTATATTTTTTTAAAAAGACATCAAAGCTTCTTGCAATCAGGAGGTTATATTTAAAGCCTTTTTTATGTACAGTAGCTGATTTTGGTGTGCTGAGTTGAAATTGGGGAGTTCTATGCAGGAATGCTGACTGCTGGGAGCCTCACCTTTCATTACAACAGAACCCCGAAACCAGCTGCATTTCAAAACCTCCTATCTGGGCGACTTATCTGGGCTTTGGCCTTGAAAGGAATGTCACCCTCCTAATATTTGTTAGAGCAGTGTGCGCGCGTGTGTGAAGGAGCGGCAATTTCTCCTGTTTGTTGCCAGTCTTCAGTTTCTCCTCCAAGGGGCTGTGCTTGTGTATATTTCATATATACATACAAATATTTTTACAGGGAATGAAAAAGAGCCGAGTAGATACCAAAAAAATGGGTCCTCTCAAGCTGGCTGCCCTGAACGGACTCTCGCTGTCTCGCCTGCCTCTGCCCGACGAGGGGAAGGACATGTCAGCCAGAGCCACCAATGACGAGAGGGTACGTACCAGCGGGCCGGTCCCCTCCCCGGGCTGGCTGCTAACGCGTGTCTGCTTCCTGAGATCCCAGAGCCTCTTCCGACCCTTTCAGTGATGATACATGAGTGTTAAGCAATTTTGTGATCTGGACCTCAAACTTGGGGCAAATTTATAGCTAATGTCTTAAGTTCAGGCTAGAATGTTTTTTTTTCCTTTTTTCTTTTTTTTTTCTTTTTATTTTCTGCATGTTATGCTTTACCTTCTTCCAGCCATCTGTGGCAGTCTTGGTTTTTGATGGCTTTCAAGTTAAAGAGGAGATCTGTAAATGCCTATGAGAACACACAGGGAAGAAGGCAGATGTTGCTTTGATTGCACTGAAAATTCTCTCCATAGCAAAAGATTACTGAAGCTTTCAGAACTTCCTTGGCAACCACGACAGACGTGAAGCACTCCAAGCAAAAAATGAATGTGCTTCCCACTGGGTCCTGGAGATGGTTTCCAGCATTTACCCCTGTTTGCAGCTTTTTATATGATTATACGTTATAAGATTGAGGCATGCGTTCATTGATATTGGAATCAATGATCCTACTCTAGGAATACTGACTCCCACGGGGAATTTCCTGTGTCATAGGGATCACAAAACTGACCCTAATTTAGAGAAATTGAATGCACAGATTGCTTTAGGCCAGTTTTCCACCTTTAAGCGGAACGTTTTTGCCTTTGTTTCTCACCAGTAAGATTAATGCATTTGCTCTTGTTATGGCTTGGTAAAAATTTAGCTCTGGTTTCACCTAGAATTTTTACTTGAAGCAGCTGTACAGCCAATGTATAGCTGTGCCTGTGACTTTATCCTTGTCGTCCCCCGCTTTCTGTTGACAGTGTAAAATTCTGGAACAGCGGTTGGAGCAGGGAATGGTGTTCACAGAATATGAAAGAATCCTCAAAAAACGGCTCATCGACGGGGAGTGCTCAACGGCCCGACTCCCCGAAAATGCAGAAAGAAACCGATTCCAGGACGTGCTTCCCTACGACGACGCCAGAGTGGAGTTGGTCCCAACCAAAGAGAACAACACCGGGTACATCAACGCGTCCCACATTAAGGTGAGAGGAGCATTTACACTGACGAGCAAGACGGGAGGCTGTGAGTTCAAGTACACGGCCTAGAATGACATTCATGCTTGTATTCTGAAAACACCTGTTTTTCTTTTAAATTTCTTTATTGATTAAGGTATTACATATGTGTCCTTATTCCCCCATTACCTCCCACCTCCTATTCATGCCCCCACAACCCTGTTATCTGTGTCCATTGATTAGGCTTATATGCATGCATATGAGTCCTTTGGTTGATCTCACTCCCTTACCCCTACCCTCCCCTACCTTCCCTGAGAAAACACCCAGGTTTTGATTCACTGGGGTCATGGTCTGCAAACTGAGGCTCAAGAGCCACAAGCGGCTCTTTGGCCCCTTGAGTGTGGCTCTTCCACAAAATACTACGGCCTGGGCAAGTCTATTTTGAAGGAGTGGTATTAGAAGAAGTTTAAGTTTAAAAAATGTGGCTCTCAAAAGAAATTTCAATCGTTGTCCTGTTGCTATTTGGCTCTGTGGACTGATGAGTTTGCCGACCACTGGGTTGGGAGAACTGTGTTATGTGGTTAACTGGGAAATCCAGACACCCAGGCTGGGTGGAAAGTGTTTACAGAGTCTGAGCCACCTTCGCTCTGGCCACGCGCTGAAACCCTCTGCCCCCAGCAGTGTAATCAGGACTCAAAGCGCTGACTTGCCCAATTTCAGAACTTTGTCTTTCTAAACCTGAAGACTTCATCAGCTGCTCCTGAGAGAATCTGTAAGCTAGAATTGGTCTTTCCTCATTACCAACCTGTGTGCATTTTTATGTAACAAAAGCGTCCAGTTTTTTAGTGTTTTCACCAAAGCTTTTACTGGAAGTGGTGCCGTCTGCTCTCTTTGCACACTCCCCGTCATCGCTCTTAAACAGTGCTTTGTTCTTTGAAGAGGCAGTGCCACCTTTTCCTTGGAAACAGTAAAATGTCATTGAACTGGGGCAGCCTATTGCACCCATTAACATGGAAACAGCAATGGTTCACAAGAGGGAGAGAGGAGAGCCAGCTTCTCTGTCTTGGTCACCCCCACCCTCCTTCCTGCCGGCCAGGGTCAGCCCCCTTTGCAGGAGGGAGAAACGTCCTCCCAGTGCGTGAATGAGTCAGGATCTGTGGTCAGACGCTGTTTACTTCCTCCCACCTTCTGTTTAGTTTGCAAGTGACTTTTGGGGAGACCAGTTCCACACGTGCAGCTTTCCAGCGACCTGGTGGTCTGTCTGTGAGCGGCACACCCTTGGTGGGGTATCTGCGCATGTGCTTCTTACTATGTGGGCACAGTCTGCTTAAGAAGCGAGCCTGGCCCTAACCGGTTTGGCTCAGTGGATAGAGCGTTGGCCTGCAGACTGAAGGGTCCCAGGTTCGATTCTAGTCAAGGACATGTACCTTGGTTTTGGGCATATACCAGGGGAGGCAATACCTATATACCTATACCTATACCTATACCTATACCTATACCTATACCTATACCTATACCTATACCTATACATATACACACATATATACACACATATATATTTTAAATCCTTACACATTTTTAAAAATATATTTTATTGACTTTTTTACAGAGAGGAAGAGGAAGGGATAGAGAGTTAGAAACATCGATGAGATAGAAACATCGATCAGCTGCCTCTTGCACACCTCCTTCAGGGGATGTGACTGCAACCAACGTACATGTCCTTGACTGGACCCGAACCTGGGACCCTTCAGTCTGCAGGCCGATGCTCTATCCACTGAGCCAAACCAGTTTCGGCTACATAAATTTTTTAAATATATTTTTATTGATGTCAGAGAGGAAAGGAGAGGGAGAGAGAGACTGAAACATCAATGATAAAGAGAATCATTGATCAGCTGCCTCTTGCATGCCCCCTAACAGGGTATCAGGCCTGCAACCCAGGCATGTGCCCTGACCGGAAATTAAATCATGACCTCCTGGTTTATTGGTTGATGCTCAACCCCTGAGCTACACAGGCCGGGAGGCAGGCAATATTTTTATTTTAACTTGAGAACTAAGATTCAGAGAGGTTCAGCAAATTGCCCCGGGTTGCATAGATATTACGTGAACTCATGGCAAGTTTATAAAGATGTCAAAAGTGGAAATTGTACTAACAAGGAAAAAGAATAAGATGAATGATTTAGTTCACTTTTTGGTATTACCACAAACAAATGTGTATACATGCCGGTGTACATACGTGACGTATGCACATTCATTTTTTTTTAACCTTTTCTCGCCTCAGGTCTCTGTCAGTGGAATCGAATGGGACTACATTGCCACGCAGGGCCCGCTGCAGAACACCTGCCAGGACTTCTGGCAGATGGTGTGGGAACAGGGAATTGCCATCATAGCGATGGTGACAGCGGAAGAGGTGAGTGCTTATTTCTCTCCATCGGTTTTCTCCGTCTCCGATGAGAAGTTATGGTTGGTCCTGTGGGGATCCTGACGCTCGGAGAGAGGGACAGGCTGGGAGAGCGATCCTGCGCCTCGGCGTGCTGTCTCTTGTGTCGCTGGGCCTTGCCTTGTGTTCTGACTGTCCCTGTGTGCATCTTTAACAGGAGGGCGGAAGGGAGAAGAGCTTCAGGTACTGGCCGCGCCTTGGTTCCCGGCACAACACCGTCACCTACGGGAGGTTCAAGATCACCACCCGGTTCCGCACGGACTCGGGCTGCTACGCCACCACCGGCCTGAAGATGAAGCACCTGCTCACAGGGCAGGAGAGGACCGTCTGGCACCTGCAGTACACGGACTGGCCGGAGCATGGCTGCCCCGAGGACCTCAAGGGGTTTCTGTGTAAGTGTCCCCGCTGCCAGCACGGCCCCTGCTGGGCTCTGACCTCAGCCACGGAGAGGAAGGCTTGTGCTCCTGGAATAGTTCCTTTATGTTGTCTCGTATTAACTCTGGGCTTGTGTTTTTTTTATTTTTATTTTTTATTTTAATATATTTTTATTAATTTCAAAGAGGAAGGAAGAGGGAGAAAGAGATAGAAACATCGTAATGAGAGAGAATCATGGAATGGCTGCTTCCTGCACGCCCCGCATTGGGGATGGAGCCCGGAACTGGGCGTGTGCTCCTGGCCAGAATCAAACCCGGGACCCTTCAGTCTGAAGGTGGACACTCTATCCACTGAGCCAAACTGGCTTGGGTGGGCTTGTTTTAAAAGAAAAGATTTTTAAGTGTTTAGGGGAGGCTTAGCAGGACTTTTATTTATTTATTTTGTTGATTTCAGAGAGGAAGGGAGGAGAGAGATAGAAATATCAATGATAAGAGAGAATCAGTGATTGGCTGCCTCCTGCATGTCCCACATTGGGGATCGAGCCCACAAGCTGGGCATGTGCCCTGACTGGGAATTGAACCATGACCTCAACCACTGAGCCACGCCGTCGGCTAAAAGAAGTTTTTTTACGTATAATGTGGTGGTGAGTGAAATTCGGTGAATGAGTCTTGGGGAGTTTTTCCTCCGTTTGGTTTTGTAGGTGAGAAAACAGGAGGCCAGGCGGAGTCCGAGCTCATTGAGACCGCACTGTCCATCAGTGGTTGGGCCCGCTGACTGGCGCCCTGTGCTCGTCCGGAGTCCTCCCAGCCAGTAGAGGTGATCTGCAGACTGTCAATGTGATCTGCCTTATACCCTGAATGTTTCTCTATCTCATTGATACTTCACAGCATACCTGGAGGAGATCCAGTCTGTGCGACGCCACACAAACAGCACGAGTGAACCCAAAGGCCCCAACCCCCCGCTGCTGGTCCACTGCAGCGCGGGCGTGGGGAGGACCGGCGTCGTCATCTTATCCGAGATCATGATCGCCTGCCTGGAGCACAATGAGGTGCCTATTTCCTTCCTTTTCCGCGTGGGGAGAGGTGGGCACAAATCCGGGGAGAGAGGCACCTCGTTATCTAACAGCTCTTTCTGAATGAGGTTCCTTGGTGTGTGTTTTTCCTCACAAGTAGGAATTTTTTTTTTTTGTCTCAGATAAAAGTCTGAATTTTATTTTTATTGATTGATCTATTTAAAAAATATTTTTATTGATTTCAGAGAGAAAGGGAGAGGGAGAGAGATAGAAACATCAATGATGAGAGAGCCCTAGCTGGTTTGGCTCAGTGAGTAGAACATCAGTGGCCTGAGAACTGAAGGGTCCTGGGTTTGATTTTGGTCAAGGACACATGCCTGGGTTGCAGGCTTGATCCTCAGAAGGGGGCATGCAGGAGGCAGCCGATGGAGGATTCTCTCTCATCATTCTCTCTCTCCCCTTTCCCTTCCTCTTTAAAATCAATGAAACATATTTTTAAAAAATGATGAGAGAGGATCCTCCATCTGCTGCCTCCTGGTAATCAAACTGTGACTTCCTGGTTCATGGGTCGATGCTCAACCCCTGAATGACGCTGGGTGGGGCACAAGTGGGATCCTTGGCCTGGGGGCGCATGTGCATCAGCTGGTTCTCCTTGAGCACCTGTCAGCTCCAGCCACTGTTCCAGAGCTGCGACCTTACCCACACAGCTCCATGAATTCTCCCAGATCGAGCGAGGGCTTTTTGCACATTGACTTTTCTAACACCGACACCGGGGAGCAGATTAGTAGACTGGGGAGCAGATTAGTAGACTGTCTTTATGGACCACTTCTTTCCTGTCATCTGTCTGCACCTCTCCGGTCATGATTTCCATCATTTGGTGGACCTGTTGCCGTTGAGAGTAAGAGGTCATCCGAATCTGATGGTTGCATTTTTTTTAGTAAAACCAACACAGAATGGACGAAGCAAATAATGGTTGTAGCCTTGACAAAATACAAGCTTCAGCCATGGTCTGCCAATTGTTTGACCAGGGAGCACGTTTTATCTCCATGTGAGATCCATGCCATGGGAGTTAGACAGGGTTTGCCTTGCACATGCTCAGTAATCGGCTTGGATGTTCTAAGTGCAGCGTCATGATTCTGCAGGTCTGCTGGCTCACTTCAACAACACGATCCTTGAGGCCATCAGATGTGATTTTGGTTCCTTGAGTTCTTGTGATTGGTTTTTACTAATATTTCCCCTATTGAACAAGGCTGGTGCTTTCATATCACACCCATCTTCCATAGGAACTGGATCAACCACTTTCTCCCTGGCCCCCTTGTTGCCGCCTTTCATAGAGTATTTATTCTTTTAAAAAAATATATATTTTATTGATTTTTTTACAGAGAGGAAGAGAGAGGGATAGAGAGTTAGAAACATCGATGAGAGATGTTTCTAATCCTACTGGGGATGTACCCACAACCAAGGTACATGCCCTTGACTGGAATTGAACCTGGGATCTTTCAGTCTGTAGGCTGACGCTCTAGCCACTGAGCCAAACCGGCTTTGGCAGGATATTTATTCTTGCCGACCGCCATGGTGTGCTTCTTAGAGAACCAAATGGTCCTTGGGTTCTCTTGTTTATTTGTGTGTTATTTTGGTAGAAGATGCCCAGGTAGAACTGTTAGGAGGTTGACCATCTCCTAACCCAGTGGTCGGCAAACTCATTAGTCAACAGAGCAGCGAGCTGCAGTTTGTCGACCACTGCCTTAACCAGGTTTGTGCTAGGACCCGAACTCTCCCTGGGGAGTGCCTTCCGCTAACCGCTGCATCTCTCAATCTAGGTGCTCGACATCCCCCGGGTGCTGGACAAGCTGAGGCAGCAGAGAATGATGCTGGTGCAGACCCTGGTCCAGTACACGTTCGTGTACAGAGTGCTCATCCAGTTCCTGAAGAGTTCCAGGCTCATCTAAGCTCCCACAGCTGCTGAAGGGGACCCACCCACGGGAAGCGTTTACCGTCAGGACAGGGCCGGCCCGAGTCACATTTAACCCCCCGACACACGTCCACGCAGCAGGCTCGCTGGGGAGTCAGGGCGGTGTGGATGCCGGCCCCGGGGGAACGTGATGGCTGCGGGGATTCCCCTGGGACGACGCCAGAGATGGAGGATTTGGTGTCCAGGGAGCGGCCCTGCCCTGGTCCGTCCGATTTGTAGCACTTGCACACGTTTTTGGAGACTGTGTTTTCTAGACAATTCTATATTTTACTGAAGCTATGCTGGGCAACTCTGGCAATCATTAACAGGCAAATATTTCTATCTTAAACAAGTTTTTGCTAATGGAATTTTACTTCATGACTAAAATATTTTGGGGTTTTCTTGTTGAGAAACCAAACTTTTCCATGGAGAAAAGCCGCAAAGACGAGTGGTTCCTTTGTAACTTTGTATTTAAAACCGTGTTATTATCTTTTGATATTTTTTAAAAATAACCTTGGGTACTTAACAGTTTAGTTACCAAATCCAACGTACAAGAAGAATCTAAAAGTGTTATTTTGGAATATGTAGAAAGCATTATTATATTCAGAAACATTTTTTATCCTAAAAAATTCATATATTTTTTACCTTCTATATTTTCCAAATCACGGTTTGACTCATTCAGGTACGGAAACGAATCAGCTCAAGGGGAAGCTGTGAATGAAGGCACGTCGTTTTTAAACGGAAGAGAATGATCAGATTCACTGCTGTTTTTTTTTTTTTTTTCTTTTTTCTCAGTATTATTCATAAACCTAAATGAGTTTGCTTTTGTTGGTTGAAGATGAAGTGAAATTGCGCAGGTTGGGTTTAAGCTCTCTTTCTTGGTTTCAAACAATACACCTGGGTTAGAATACGTGGGCTGCTTTCCCGGTGAAACGCTAACAGGAGCAGGAGCCATGGTTCCGGGGGGCTTTGGAAGAGATGGGGAGTAAGAGGATGTAGGGTGCCTGGGACACGAGGACGTGTAGAGTCAGTGCAGGATGGCAAATGCAAGATGCCTTTGTTTTCACAAAAACGCAGTATTATCTCTCCTCAGACAGAGGTGCTGGGATGGGTACCCCCAGGAAACCCCAGGCCTGTCAGTGTCAGAGACCACTTGGGCTCCCTTGGAGTTCTTCCATGGCAACCTCTATTTTTTTTTTTTTTTTTTAACAAATACAATCAAGTTAATATTATCATGCGATGGAGCCTTGAAGAAGCTTCCTTTTCTTTGGGTTGAAAGAAGAGTTAGTCATAGTTTTACCTCATCTCCCAAGACCACAGGCCAAACGTGTGGGGCTAGCAGAGGTCACTTGGTGTTCAAGGGGTGCTTGAGATTTAGCTTCCCTGGCCCCTGGCTTCACCCCTGAGGTCAATGTTAGCCTCTTGGCTACCCCTCTCCCACCGCAGTGGGCAGAACAAGGCTGACTGGAGGCAGAGGGTCACCTCTGGCCCAGGCTAGGGCGGCCCGGTCGCAGTGGGAGTTTAGGTTAGGACTCACTGGTACGTTTGGCCGAGAAGCCACCCCTTTCTTCCTTCTGAGGCTGCTTCTCCAAAATACAGTTTCCAAATTGTTCAATTAGGGCTATTTCCCCCAAGGTCAATATTCTAGGGGCCTTTCCGGTTCCTGTGTTAACTCCTAAAGCAGTTGGTACTGTTGTGACCGCTGAGTGTATTATCAGCTGGGACAGGTTTCCTTCATACAGTATGGACCTAACTCCCAGTTACCCAGAAAGCAACCATGTGAGAGGAGAATTCCAAGGATGTTAGAGAAAAGGAATATTGGAAGTGAGCACATTTGTCACGTAGGAACAAAATAATTAATTTTAAACCTGACGTTGTTTTTGAGAGTCCTGTTTAAGGAGCAGTAGACCTAAGTGTAAACATTCAGAACGAGCTCTGCAGAAGAATGGAATGGATGAAACTTTTTTAAAAAAAATATATATTTTATTGATTTTTCACAGAGAGGAAGGGAGAGGGACAGAGAGTTAGAAACATCGATGAGAGAGAAGCATCGATCAGCTGCCTCCTGCACACACGCTACCGGGGATGTGCCCGCAACCGAGGTACATGCCCTTGACCGGAATCGAACCTGGGACCTTTCAGTCCGTAGGCCGACGCTCTATCCACTGAGCCAAACCGGTTTCGGCGAAACCTTTTTTTTTTTTTTATGGTGATGTTTCCCATCTCCACACCGTGTAAAAGACAAGGGTTTCTGATGATGTTTTTTTCTTCCATGGCAGGTTTTTAAAAAATTCTTTTCTGTCAGGTTGAAATATTTTAATGTGTCCCACTGGCAAGAACATAACGTAAGACAAAATCTGAAGAGTAATATATGGTATATTTGTGTTCCTGTTGTCACAATTTGAATATGAGAAAGTATGAGGGCCGAATTGCAATTTGAATGTCACGCTCACGATGTTGCATGTTTGACATAGTTTTTAAGACCATGTAACCTTTTGTCCCTTTTGAATTTTTAAATTTTTCATTATAGTTCGTGAATATGAAAGTATTTCTGAATAAAAATACATCTAAATTATATTCTCTGCTACCATGTGATTTTCAAGAGCAAATTCTCAAACACTGAGGTGTCATAGCTCGCCTCGTCTGAATTGAGGGTGCTATTGTCTGCCAAAAGTAGGCAGTACTTCAGTATCTTCATGGCTGTTAGTTCCCTGATATTGTTAATTTCGAATCAAAATGACCAAAGTGTACATTTCTACAAAAGTAGGTTACAAATGAGTGCCTCTTTGGGGGTCCATTTTGGCATCTCTGACATTACTTCCTGGTTAGTTAGAATATCACTTGGAATGAAAAGTCATTATCATTACTTTTTCCTGGAACATCTACTCTGAAGCGTTCAGAAAGCCCTAGGAGTTAGCCTTTCAAACCTTTTGGCAGAACACGATTAAAACAGAAACTGTACCTGTGCTTCCATAGAATCTTTGTGAAGGATCAAGGTCTGGGCAGAAACTTGGAGGATGGTGTCGGGTTGTAGGACAGAGTGATGACAGCATGGCCAAGCTTTCATCATTGGGAGAAAGGTCATTTCAAACGGGTTCGTGTGTTAATGTTCATAATTTTAAGAAAATATATGTTATATATAAAACTATCTACGTATTAAAATCTAAAGCTGGAGGTCAGCTGCAGTGTAAGCACAGATTTAATGGAGATTTGCATGAACATATGGAAATAAGACAGCATTTACTGTAAATCATTTTAAAAATCAGACTAGAAGGTGTTTTTCAAAAGGAACTCTTTTGGCTATAAATTTAGGGGATTTGCTTCCATCAAGATTTCATGTGGAACAAGCTAAAAACGATAGCTTCCCAGTTTAAAGTTTACTTTAAAACATGCAAATTGGAGGGGGTTCTTTTTTTGAGCTGAGAGTGCATTTCGAAAATAGAGGAAATGGTACATTAGGAATTTGCCTGGGAAAATGTTCCTCAAAAGAACACGAGTTTTTCAAATTCTTAGAGATAATCTATTTACCCTCGTGTCTACAATGGGAGAAAAATGAGGCAAGATAAGAAGACCAGGTTGTTTAAAGTTGGTGTGTTTGGGGAGGGTAGACAGAAAATTTTATTTTATTTTTATTTAAAAAAAATATATTTTATTGATTTTTTACAGAGAGGAAGGGAGAGAGATAGAGAGCTAGAAACGTCGATGAGAGAGAAACATTGACCAGCTGCTGCCTCTTGCACACCCCCTACTGGAGATGTGCTCGCAACCCAGGTACATGCCCTTGCCCGGAATTGAACCTGGGACCTTTCAGTCCGCAGACCAACGCTCTACCACTGAGCCAAACTGGTTTCGGCATGGACAGAGAATTTTAGAGAACTTGCGAAGAGGTCCTTGGATTGTTGAAGTGGCGTCATTTTCTGTACATCACTGCAGGCAGTTCCCAAATAAAGATTATACTCTCGAAGTTCAGATGTATGTTGAATTACTGAGATGTAGTAATATTTCCCCTTATGAACAATACTTGGAGTGTTAACTTTCTTGGTTTGTCTACCCTAAGCAATTTTAACTACAGGGTCTCTGAATGGGAAACAGTGGTACAGAATCCCGTGACCACTATGGGTACTCCAAGGAAAATATTATATACAGCAGTTTTCCCCTGCTGCTCCCTGGTGGTGAAACAGAGAAAGGGTTCTCTGTGTCTGTTTGGTAGTGGGACTGAGCCTCAGAAAGCAATCGAAGGCAGGCTGATCGGTGTCTCAGGAGGGACCTAAGATATTCATAAGTGAACATCCCATTGTTTGTTCAGAACCTTGAGTGGCGCATGAAGGGTAAAGAACAGAATGGGACATAAGATGAGGCGAGCAGGGATGCCACCAGGTGACTGGCTGAAGTGGGACAGAGGTGAAGGTTGATGAATTGGCAATACAGGCCCTACCTTTCCTGTTTCCACTCACATATCCTTTGGATTGTCACTAGCATGAAACTGGAAGTAGAGATGGAGCAAGGAGGAAGCTTACGGTACAGCACCCAGCTGAGGAAGCAGCAGTTCCAAGGCAGTATTCCCATGTAAAGGGCAAATCCAGGTCACGTGTATGTAAATTAGGGTCTGGCTGCACATCTTATTTCCAAAGATGTTTAAGTCACCTCAATGTATTTGAGAAATTAGAATACTTAGTTTTAAAAAACTAGAGTAAATCTGAATTGTCTCCAATATGTTGATAGATTAGAAAGAATAACCATATACATACTGATTTTAAATTGTTTTCATATTATTATAAATAAGTACAAATAAATGATAAAAAAGGAATAATTGTGTTTGAACTGACAGTAGGATGATATGTATGGGTGACACATGGTTCCAAGTTTTGAAAATTATTAGGTAAAGTTTCTGATCATTATCCCTTAATTTCTGTTAAATAACCATGTGGTGTGCAGATGAAAGAACCATTTGAAATCTCTAAGACCCATTGGCTCAGAATCTGATGTTGTACCCACCCT